CAGACACTCCCTGTTTAAATTCACCTAACATGTTGTCAAAAGTTAATCAGTGCTGTTAATGGTAGCCAACTGGTCCAAGTCTACATTTTTTACAAAATCTTAGGTTTGACCGTAACACGCCAAACTCAACGATTCTTCTTCCCTCTTTCCAACCCTCATTATCAACCGATTTAGGAAGAGTTGATGTCTTGTAGAGCTGGTTTGGTTGACACGTAATACTGGTTACCTGCACTATAGTTATGTTCTATAATAAAGTCGGAATACTTGAGTTTTCTGCATCTTTTTACACTTTTTTTTAATCGACCGAGCGTATCACACGCTGTAAGACGCCATGTTAGATATCTGCGGAAATTACGTCATTTTCTTGGGGAATACTACCACGTGACCGGGGATATTCGCTATTATTAGAATTCCGACTTTATACGTAAACAAACGAAGTTCGTTACGATAAATGGCGAGATATGGCGGTAATTGTCGAAGATTGCCGATTTCATTATGGGTCTTCTACCTTATAATTTTTTAACTGTTATTGTGAACTACAATACCCTCCATGATACATATGATGTTTCAATTTGATAACTCTTAGGCAAAAAATAAAAATTTGTTTGTTTCCACTTCCCGACCCATAAAAATAAGGTCGGGTAGGTAGGTAGGTTATAGCACGGACTTTAATTGACATTTAAATCCGTGGTTATAGGTAGGTACATGAAGGACTTTTTTTAAATGTGCATAATAATATAATTCCTTGGCAAAATAGTTATTTACTGAACAAAGTTGGATTAACTTTCAGAACTGATATGTTTGTGGCGATTATCTGGCAAACTTGTTTTTATAGAAAAGTTTCTGGTGAACTTTCAGCGAATAATTTTTTTGATAGAAAGATTCTGGCAATCTCTGGCAAATTAGTTTTCCACTGAAAGTTTCTGGCAAACTTTTGGCGAACTACTTAATATTCTGGTGAATTCGCTGCAAAGTCGCCAAATGTTTGCCACAGAGTTGCCACTAGTGGCGATATCTGGCAAACACTTGACACAGTGTTTTGGCGAACTAAAAGGTTTGCAGCGAATTTGCGGCAAAGTTGCGGCGAGTTTGCGGCAAACCTTTCCTTTTGGTACGGGAAGGCTATTTAATTTTGCACTTATTGTATTGTTTTGAAATAGATCCACTTATTTTATTTTTAAAGTGAAAGTAGAAGTCTAGTTATGGATTTTTTTATGTAAACAAAAGGTCTGATAGAGTCTTGTGTCATTTCACATGGCTTAATGTTGTCTTATTTCACCACCAACTATGGATTAGAAGCTTCTATGCTATTAAGCAATCAATATATATATATTGTCATGCCAAAGTTTAAGATTCTGTGATACTTTTGGTCTGGGTCAGAATCTCGACTCTACCCATGGCCAGAGGCGAGATATTGTGTCACAGGGTGAGAAAAATGTGCAGCCTGACCGGGACTGGAACCCGGGACCCTCGGAATACCGTACCGCGGCTCTACCGACTGAGCTATCTGGCCGCTTTATTCACATCATCTCCCCTAAATATTTAGTGAACAGATCTGAACCGTGACATACTCCCCTGCTTTATTGAAATTCGTCCTCGAATTTGACAGAGGTACAGAGCAATGTAAATTAAACTCTGAGCTGTATTCTCACGGTCCCCCGTTGGGCGCCAAATGTCACAGGGTGAGAAAAATGTGCAGCCTGACCGGGACTCTAACCCGGGACCCTGGGAATACCGTACCGCGGCTCTACTGACTGAGCTATCCGGCCGCTTACACATCATCTCCCCTAAAAAGTGAACAGTTCTGAACCATGACAATTGCCCAGACACAAAATAGCACAATATCTCGTTGCGTAGTATGAGTATGTTATAATGTTTACATGTATTTACTCTGTAGTGTATACTATGTTTATTGAGCATCCATCTGCCAATACACTGATAAACACTTTCAGAACTAGCAGACGACAGGCTATTCTTATCAGTTAGCATTTCGAGTAAAGATAAGGGATTGTGTATCTCACTGTATAAATTGTATGTAAAATGGTCTGACATATGGTAGGTTTAACAGTTAATTTTTAATACTTTAGAGTCAAAAGATGTGTTGAAGTTTATACTGTGATGAAGCTAAGATCCAGAGCTTTCTATTGGTGGAATACATTTTAAAATCGGACATTTAATCACAACAAACTAGCGGTTTAAAAACGGCCTATTTTGTATTGTTTTAACATAAGCGGTATCGATTTTACTTGAAGATAAGGGAAGCAACTTGTATTTTTCACTCGATATACCTCGGTTATTTACCTAGATCATATTGAAAGTGTTTATTGGGTGTATTTAGGCACAAAAAGTAGCTTTCCTTGTTTAGTAAGGACCCTGGACATGACTGTGACCAGTCATGCCGTTAAAGGGATAATTTTGAAGTAGGCTACAAAGTGGTGATGATTTAACTCCATGCAATTTCCTCAGAGTAATAGCCAAACATATGCATTTTGAGCCTCTGTAAGGTGATGAGAACCTACATTTACATGTATTAGTGTACAGTAACCAGTGGGATAATAGGAAGAAGAAGGTTGCCCTACAAAAGGCTGTTTGTGCCAGCAATGGGCCTGCCGTTCAAGCCATCTCTTTCTGTACTACATTCTCTGCATACACCTTGTCGTCCCTGCCTACTCTGAAGATCAAGTCAGTCCCCTTGGCCTTTAGTCAGGAAATTGAGCAGCTAACTTCATGCAGTCTTAGTCTTTTACTTTAAACATAACCCAGAGCTGTAGAAAAACAATGCAAACTTGCTGTCTTAAAGTAAAATCTATGCATTGGATCTTCAATCATCTGCCATTGCCCGGTGCCTTCTCAATGACGGGCATGTACGAAGGGGAAAAGTGAAGTAATATGGTAGGTCAGCGCTTTTTTCGTAATACAGTTACTACCTGTAAACAGACGCCTCCACAATGCCATTAAACAGATGGGTTTTTCCTTTTTCAGGAGCATAAAATTACCAATTGTGTGTGTGCATTAAATTTACTGTTGATTTTCCTTGAAAAAGGTTTTTTTCTTTCTAAAGGGAAACCTTTAAAAATAACTATACAAGAAAATATTAATAGAAAATGTTGTTAATAGAAACTATTAATTTCTTCATTATATGTGTTGCAGTTTGTACTACATGTAGTTACTGTAAATTCTGCAATTTTGGACAATTTACAACTTTTTTCTGGCATTCTGAAAATGTTGGGAAAAAAACCTGCGGGTTCACTGTTTTTGCTGAGCTGACCGAACAAAACATGGTGCTAATCTAAAGTTGCTTGTTTCGTTACATGTTTTGTCCCAGTTTCAGCATTATTTTTTTTCTAATCTTAAACTCCTACAGTCATTGTATATTAATATATTTTTTTAGTGAAGTTTCCTTGTGCTCCACATATAAATAAAAGGATGACAGATACATAAAAGTTTGATAAATCTACATGTAGACTAGTTACAAGTAAATATGCTACCAGAAAACATGGTTCATTGGCTTGCCAACTTATTCTTTTTTATGCTAGTATAAAGCACCATTGAGTATTAGTGTTAGTCTTTTTATGCCAGAATAAAGCACCATTGCGTATTAGTGTTAGTATTTTTATGCCAGTATAAAGCACCATTGAGTATAAGTGTTAGTCTTTTTATGCCAGTATAAAACACCATTGAGTATTATTGTTAGTCTTTTTATGCCAGTATAAAGCACCATTGAGTATTAGTGTTAAGTACATGACTGTATTTTTATGCCAGTATAAAGCACCATTGCGTATTAGTCTTTTTATGCCAGTATAAAACACCAATGAGTATTATTGTTAGTCTTTTTTGCCAGTTTAAAGCATCATCATGACTGTATTAGTGTTAGATTTTTTGATGCAAGTATAAAGCACCATTGAGTATTAGTGTAAAGTATAAAGCACCGTTGAGTATTAAGTCTTTCTTATGCCAGTACAAAGCACTATTGAGTAATGATGTTAATCTTTTTTGATGCAAGTATAAAACAGTATTGAGTGTTAGCACTTAAGTCTTTTTGATGCCAGTTTAAAGCACCATGGAGACTCCAAGATTTACACATTTTTGTAAATGTTTACACTGACCATGAAAAACATAAGGATCTCATTTAAATGTTGTTTATAATGACATAAACATTTCACATATCACCTGTCAACCATGTATCATTTACCTTTAAAATTCATACATAACATTATTACAGAATAATTCTTCTGGACATGAGAACCCAGAGTCTCTATACTGGAAGGTTTTTTTGCCATGAACAGAAAAAGTATGCTGCAAATATTTGCGAAATATCGCAATTAATTTTTCACCCAAAATGCTGATAGATATTTGCTAATGTTTTTACAATTTTTTGGGATAAATTGATATATCAAAATATGGTACCGGGTACCTATTTTAGTAATATAGTTCCTATTTCTATATACTTATTAATGAAAGAAATAAAATGTATAAATCCTACTGTCAATTGTATTTCCAATGATGATTTTCTAATTCCGTAACGCTCTGACAAACCCTAAAAAAATTGCCCACATTTTTTAGCAAGCTTAGAAATGATGGAACACATACTTTTGATTTCTGAAAATTAAGACTCCCTGAATAGTGACTTGTTTAAAAAAAATCATTTTACCTTGAAAATCAAGTAAGTAATATTTCCCAACAGAATACCAGCTGGCATGCCAATATATTGTGTCCTAGCTTTTCATGCCCTGTACGTGATTCCAGACACTTTGTCAAATGCCGAATACATGTATAATTGAGACTGCTAGTTTAATTTTATTAGTTGTCTAAGGCTCAAGACTGCTAGCTTAAAACTGATTTAGTGATAGGCCCAGTTTAAAGTCTATCTTTCACTGTCAAACCATTGAGAATTTAAATCATCCATCCAAAGTTATCTCTAATGCATGTCAAGAACTATACTAGTATCATGGTATCTTTTAAAAGGCCAAACAATTCAATAGAAGTTATTTTCTTTACAGAAAAAGCAGTTGCAAGCATTGAAGACAGTCAAACCAGAGAGGGAACCAGTTAAAGAAAAGCCAGTGAAAAGACGTAATTCTTATTTGTTGCAGTTAACCTTTTGGTTGAATCTTTAAATGTTCTAAATTCCTTGATGGCAAATTTTATGTGCACTGTCCATAAAATTCAGTAAAGACACATAAAGAAAAAATAATAAAACAGGTTCATACATAATCATATATGCATAGGAGACTGTAATCACAAGTGCTTTTGCAACGCAAACAAGTCAGATCAGCCCCAAGTCAGATCAGCCCCAAAATTAGTTGATCGGCCTTAAAATAAGTCATAGGTTTTGTTAGAGTTATTGCCCTTGACTTACAATGTAGTATAAATTTGCAATTTTCAACTTGTTCATGCATAGCTCAAAAAGTATTTGACCTGTAGGCCTGAACGTTCACTAGAATGCTGGTCAGCATGTGTACTTATGCACCTTTAGGAATTTGTTTGTGAATTTATTTAATATTTGTAAAGTTCTTGCCCTTTACTTTGTAAAAGATTTTTAGTTTTCAACTTATGGCACATGTAGCTCCAAAAATATTTGACCTAGAGTCATAAGATTGACAAAACAGTGGAATGTGGGGGGCACCTGTGTCCTTAGTATGGACATGTTTCTAGTTGTGAATAGCTACATGTAAATATATACATGTATATTTACAGCACATGAGTCAGCAGAAGATGCTAAAGAACAGGCTAAAAAGCTGGTCATGTCTGGGGTAATTAAGTTTCTTCTTTTATCTTATTTATATGCTCAATATAGAAGTTTTTCTAACCAAGATGTTGCAGTTCTTTAATCATAGTTTTAATACAAAATATAGTATATATACCTTGAAATAACCTTGTCTGTTTAAAATTTAATCACTTCAACATATGCGATCAGTTGAATATATTCGTTCATTCATTAATTCATTCATTCTTTTCTTCATTCATTCATTAATTAATTCATTCATTCATTCATTTCTTTTAATCAGGCTATTAAACTGAGTGACAAGAAAGAGAAGCAGGGATTTAAGAGATCTCGAAACCTTGAGAAGAAACTACAAGACCCAGAGAAATTACCTGCCACACCTGCCACTGTTGGCTTCCAGCCATTTGCTGCTTCACACCCAGATGACGAGGAGAGAGTCGAAAGAGAAGATAGGGTAAGAGCTGGCGCATTTCAAGTACTATTTATACTCCTCTTCAGTAATTTGCTTACAGAGCTCCGATAAGAACTTGACAATTGAATATATTGAATAGTATCACCAATATCTTGGGTACAATCTTTAGATCATTATGGGTTTGGGGCGTTAATACAGACCACTCAGTCAACACAGTAAATTGAATTTGTTACCAGCACTCATAAATTACATAAACATAAGTACAATTTACTTCATTAGTTTATTATTGACAGGTTATATGGTGTAGTATGATATCTTGTAAGTTTATATTACCCGGGAGGGGCGTCAGTGTTAGAATGGTTAAGGTCGTTGACTTCAAACCACTTGACCCTCACCGCTGTGGGTTCGAATCCCCACAGGGACTTTGAATTTTTTCATGTGAGGAAGCTATCCAGCTAGCTTACGGAACGTCGATGGTTCTACTCAGGTGACCTTTTGTGTCTGAAATAATGCACAGAAGGGCACCTGAGGTCTTCCTCCAACAGTAAAGCTGGAATGTGGCCATATAACCTATACTGTGTTGGTGTGACGTAAAATCAAGTAAAACAATATAACCCAAGATGAGGGTTATCTAGCCCATAAATATATAACCTGTGAAAAGTATGTATAATAAATGTTTTATACGGCATATTCTTTTATACCGCATATTCTTTTTCTATGATTTGAAAAGAAAATAGTTTGTATATTTGCCACAACTTTACGCAGCTTAGTTTTGACAATGAAATGATACAAGTATATAATTATTAAGCTACAGGGACATATGATACATGTATATTTACAGAGACCAAGGCACCAGCGTGTACGTGGGTTATATGATAATTTTGTTCGTAGTGAGAGACCACCGGAACGTCCGGACAGAATTTCTGAAAGACCAGAGAGAGGTTTGTTTTGTTAACTCTTACCATGTTGAATCTAAAAGTAATTAGTCTTTGTCTCCAGTATAGAGTCAATCCAACCTGACCATTCTATTTGGTACTGTTGGTAGCACAATTTCTGTATTTTGATATTGAGCGGCATGCCTCCAGATGAACCAAAATATTTCAAGAAAATCAAACTAGAGAAAAATTATGTACTAAGATTTTAAAAGATGCAAAAAGATTCAAGATTTAAGTAATAATTTCAAGTAATATGCGATTAATGACTGATTTTTCAGAATTAATCACCATATTTCTTCTGCATTACTAACGCAGTAAGGGCTATTTCTGCCTATTGTAACATCTGTTTTGGTAATTCATACTTGCATTGTAAATGCCTAATTGTAGTGTGTTAATTATTTTCTTTGTTAACTACACAATATTTTACTTTAAAATACATTTTAAAAATTTTCAAAAAAGTTAGCATGAATCTGGAGGCATGCTGCTTTAAAGGCGAGGCAAATAATCTATACAATCATGTGCAGCTGGTTACAGGTAAAATTGCAATACAGTGTGTGATACATATGTTAACCAGTCTTGAAACAACTTGAAACAAAGTTTCTTTTCAGCTCGACTTTTCAAAGAAACGTGGACTGGCATCCTACTTACCCCAGTATTGGCTTTGTTGTAACTCTCACCTAAGGTTTTGGGTGCGATTTTGGTCTCTTTAACCTTTGAAGGTCTTCATTTTGAATTTTTCACCTGTGTTCAGAATTATAAATGCAAGTGAATGTCACCTCTTATGTATTGTTTCTAATTTGTCTGTTGTTTGGCTGTGTTTCAGTTAATCGATACTGACCGCTTCTTATGAATATCACCTCTTATGTATTGTTCTAATTTGTCTGTTGTTTTGGCTGTGTTTCAATTAATCGATACTGACCGCTTCTTATGAATATCACCTCTTATGTATTGTTCTAATTTGTCTGTTGTTTGGCTGTGTTTCAGTTAATCGATACTGACCGCTTTTTAGCTCACCTGTCACAAAGTGACAGGGTGACCTTTTGTGATCGCTTTTAATCCGGCGTCCGTCCGTCCGGCGTCCGTCCGCCCGTAAACTTTTACTTTTAATGACATCTCCTCATAAACCACTCAGCCAATTTCATCCAAACTTCACAGGAATGTTCCTTTGGTGGTCACCTTTAAAAATTGTTCAAAGAATTTAATTCCATGCAGAACTCTGGTTGCCATGGCAACCAAAAGAAAAAACTTTAAATATCTTCTTTTAAAAAACCCAAAGAGCTAGAGCTGAGATATTTGGCATGAAACATCTTCTAATAGGTGTCTACCAAGTTTGTTCAAATAAAAGCCCTGGGGTCAAAATTGGCCCCGCCCCAGGGGGTCATTGATTTTCCCTATATGCATATAGTAAAAACTTAAAAAATCTTCTTTTAAAGAACCCAAAGAGCTAGAGCTAAGATATTTAGCATGAAACATGTTCTAATGGGTGTTTACAAAGTTTGTTCTAACAAAAGCCCTGGGGTCAAAATTGGCCCCGCCCTGGGGGTCATTGATTTTCCTGATATGTGTATAGCAAAAACTTAAAAAATCTTCTTTGAAAAAACCCATATAGCTAGAGTTTAGATATTAAGCATGAAACATCTTCTAGTGAGTGTCTACAAAGTTTGTTCAAATAAAAGCCCTGGGGTCAAAATTGGCCCCGCCCCAGGGGGTCATTGATTTTCCCTATATGCATATAGTAAAAACTCAAAAAATCTTTTTTTAAAGAACTCAAAGAGCTAGAGCTAAAATATTTAGCATGAAACATGTTCAAATGAGTGTCTACAAAGTTTGTTCAAATAAAAGCCCTGGGGTCAAAATTGGCCCCGCCCGGGGGGTCATTGATTTTCCTTATATGTGTATAGCAAAAACTTAAAAAATCTTCTTTGAAAAAAACCAAATAGCTAGAGTTTAGATATTAAGCATGAAACATCTTCTAGTGAGTGTCTACAAAAATTGTTCAAATAAAAGCCCTGGGGTCAAAATTGGCCCCGCCCCAGGGGGTCATTTATTTTCCCTATATGCATATAGTTAAAACTTAAAAAATCTTCTTTTAAAGAATCCAAAGAGCTAGAGCTAAGATATTTAGCATGAAACATGTTGTAATGGGTGTCTACAAAGTTTGTTCAAATAAAAACCCTGGGGTCAAAATTGGCCCCGCCCCGGGGGTCATTGATTTTCCTTATATGTGTATGGCAAAAACTTAAAAATCTTCTTTGAAAAAACCCATATAGCTAGAGTTTAGATATAAAGCATGAAACATCTTCTAGTGAGTGTCTACAAAGTTTGTTCAAATAAAAGCCCTGGGGTCAAAATTGGCCCCGCCCAGGGGGTCATTGATTTTCCCCTATATGCATATAGTAAAAACTCAAAAATCTTCTTTTAAAGAACCCAAAGAGCTAGAGCTAAGATATTTAGCATGAAACATGTTCTAATGGGTGTCTACAAAGTTTTTTCAAATAAAAGCTCTGGGGTCAAAATTGGCCCCGCCCGGGGGGGTCATTGAATTTCCTTATATGTGTATAGCAAAAACTTAAAAAATCTTCTTTGAAATAAAAACCAAATAGCTAGAGTTTAGATATTAAGCATGAAACATCTTCTAGTGAGTGTCTACAAAGTTTGTTCAAATAAAAGCCCTGGGGTCAAAATTGGCCCCGACCCAGGGGTCATTGATTTTCCCTATATGCATATAGTAAAAACTTAAAAAATCTTCTCTTAAAGAACCAAAAGAGCTAGAGCTAAGATATTTAGCATGAAACATGTTCTAATGGGTGTTTACAAAGTTTGTTCAAATAAAAGCCCTGGGGTCAAAATTGGCCCCACCCCGGGGGTCATTTATTTTCCTTATATGTGTATAGCAAAAACTTAAAAAATCTTCTTTGAAAAAACCCAAATAGCTAGAGTTTAGATATTAAGCATGAAACATCTTCTAGTGAGTGTTTACAAAGTTGTTCAAATAAAAGCCCTGGGGTCAAAATTTGCCCCGCCCCAGGGGGTCATTGATTTTCCCTATATGCATATAGTAAAAACTTAAAAATCTTCTTTTAAAGAACCCAAAGAGCTAGAGCTAAGATATTTAGCATGAAACATGTTGTAATGGGTGTCTACAAAGTTTGTTCAAATAAAAGCCCTGGGTTCAAAATTGGCCCCGCCCCGGGGGTCATTGATTTTCCTTATATGTGTATGGCAAAAACCTAAAAATCTTCTTTGAAAAAACCCAAATAGCTAGAGTTTAGATATTAAGAATGAAACATCTTCTAGTAAGTGTCTACAAAGTTTGTTCAAATAAAAGCCCTGGGGTTAAAACTGGCCCCGCCCCAGAGGTGTCATTGTTTTTAACTATATGTGTATAGTAAAAACTTAAAAATCTTCTTTTAAAAAACCCAATGAGCTAGAGGTTAGATTTTAGGCAGGAAACATCTTTTTGTTGGTGTCTACCAAGTTTGTCCAAATGAAATGTAGTAAAAACTTAACATCATGAAACATCTATATGTGTATAGTAAAAACTTAAAAGTCTTCTTTTAAAAAACCCAATGAGCTAGAGGTTAGATTTTAGGCAGGAAACATCTTTTTGTTGGTGTCTACCAAGTTTGTCCAAATGAAATGTAGTAAAAACTTAACATCATGAAACATCTTCTAATGGGTGTCTTCCAAGTTTGCTCAAATAAAAGCCCTGGGGTTTAAACTGGCCCCGCTCCGGGGTCCTATATACAGGTGAGCGACCTCAGGGCCATCATGGCCCTCTTGTTATGAATGTCACCTCTTATGTATTGTTTCTAATTTGTCTGTTGTTTGGCTGTGTTTCAGTTAATTTCTTATGAATGTATTCTCTTATGTATTGTTCCTAATTGTCTGTTGTTTGGCTGTGTTTCAGTTAATTTCTTATGAATGTATTCTCTTATGTATTGTTCTAATTTGTCTGTTGTTTGGCTGTGTTTCAGTTAATTGATACTGACCCCTTCTTATGAATGTATTCTCTTATGTATTGTTTTTAATTGTCTGTTGTTTGGCTGTGTTTCAGGTATTGAAAGAGAGGACAGAAGAGATGAGAGAGATAGACGTGAGAGATCAGACAGACCTGATAGGGAACCTCTTCCTAAAAAAGGTAATTTTAGTCTCCTTAGAAATTCAGCAAAACAATTGCAACCTTAGCTGAAGCTCTCTGCTAATCCAAACTTAAAATATGAATAGTGCAGTTATAGTGATTTAATATTTTGTATGGAATTCAAAGTACTACTTTTCATGCCTCCACAAAGTGGGGAGCATATAGCGTTGCACTTGTCCGTCTGTCTGTCCGTCTGTCTGTCCTTACATGCCTTAAGGCCTTACGTCCCGAACTCTTGTGAACACAACTCCTCTTAAACCGGATGGCAGATTTTGCCTAAACTTCCAGTGATGAACAACCTTAATGTGTAGATGTTAGTAAAGGAAGGAATTTTTGCTGTGAAAAATTTTAACAGAATTATGGCCCTTTGTTGATTTTTTCACTATATACTTTGCAGAAATTTTGTAAACGCAACTCCTCTTAAACCGGATAGCAGATTTTGCTTAAATTTCCAGGGATGAACAACTTTAATGTGTAGATGATACATGTAGTAAAGGAAGAAATTTTTGCTGCAACCAAATTTAACAGAATTATGGCCCTTTGTTGATTTTTCCACTATATACTATATTGGAATTTTGTGAACACAACTCCTCTTAAACCGGATAGCAGATTTTGCTTAAACTTCCACGGATGAACAACCTTAATGTGTAAATGGTAGTAAAGAAAGGAATTTTTGCTGCGACCATATTTAACAGAATTATGGCCCTTTGTTGATTTTTCACTATATACCATATAGAAATTTTGTGAACGCAACTCCTCTTAAACCCGATGGCAGATTTTGCTTAAACTTCCCAGGATGAACAACCTGAATATGTAGATGGAAGTAAAGGAAGGAATTTTTGCTGTGACCAAATTAACAGAATTATGGCCCTTTGTTGATTTTTTCACTATATACCATATATGTTGTCAGTGGGGGCATCCGTGTCCTTTGGACACAGTTCTAGTTGCTACTTGTATGACAAAGAATTTCATATTCATGGCTGTATTATTTAGGTGATAAGCATCAAACATGATGTTAACTATAAAACTCATATTTGCCCTTTCTCTATAGAAGAAAATAAGTTGGTTTCTGAGGCATATTGTGGCTTTAATGGCAACGAAAATACAAATGTAGTAAAAATTAAGAAAAGTAAAATTCTGTAGATGTATCATATAGTGAAATTTGGTTTTGTTTAGGTAACACTGTGTATGTTCATGGTCATGGTGTGAATGAGGAATTACTGAGGAAGGCCTTCCATAACTTTGGTAATATTGTCAACATATCCATGGAGAAAGAAAGGAAGTAAGTTAGGATTGTATGTTTTTCCTCTTAATATCCAGATTAGCTGCAAATTGTGAAAGATTTGCCTACAATTTCTCAAAGTGTATATATTGTTATCTTATGAAAGCAGGCTTTAATAAAAAGAGTGGTTGATTCATAATTACAATAACCACACAGGTACACATGGTTACACCAACCACATAGGTACACATGTTTACACCAACCACATAGGTACACATGGTTACACTAACCACACAGGTACACATGGTTACACCAACCACACAGGTACACATGGTTACACTAACCACACAGGTACACACAGTTACACCAACCACTCAGGTACACATGGTTATACCATCAACTCAGGTACACACAATTACACCAACACCACAGGTACACATGGTTACACCAACCACACAGGTACAGATGGTTACACTAACCACACAGGTACACATATTTACACCAACCACATATGTGCACATGGTTGCACTAACCACACAGGTACAAATGGTTACACAAACCACACAGGTACACATGGTTACACCAACCACACAGGTACACATGGTTACACCAACCACACAAGTACACAGTCATAGTTACACCATTAACTCAGGTACACACAATTACACCAACCACATAGGTACACATGGTTACACCAACCACACAAGTTCCGATATTTACACCAACCACATAGGTACGCATAATTACACTTACCATATATGTACACATTGTAACACCAACCACTCAGGTACACATGGTTACATCAACCACTCAGGTACACGTGGTTACACCAAACCACTCAAATGCATATGGTTACACCAAACACTCAGGTACACATAATTACACAAACCACTCAGGTTAAGTCACATACACATAATTACACCAACTACACGGGTACCCATTCAACTGAGTGACTTGTGGCAGTGCTGAATGAATTATTTACTCAAATTAACCGTGCCCAGACCAAGACCTCTCAAATGAAAAGATGGTGTTGTACATACCACAAGGACCACTGTTCCATTTTCTCTTTGTCTATCTAACCATCCTACATGTTAAAAATGAAGATTAATGTTTCATTATTGAATGTTATTAAAAAATCAATGAGTGCAAATACAGGCAATTTATGAATCATTGTAGATGTATTTGAAAGGAAATATTTTGTGCCTGAAATAGTTATATAATTATGTTCTAATACAATGTATTTGTATATCTTTAGTTGTGGTTTTGTGACCTTTGACAAAATGGACTGTGCAGATATGGCCATACAAGAGGTGGGTGTGTAATGTTTATGTACTAGTAGGAGTGTTTTAATGTAGGGATGGGGGTTATTGTATGGGTAGAGGTGTTTAATTGTAGGGATGGGGAGTTTTATTGTAGGGATGGGGAGTTTTATTGTAGGGATGAGGAGTTATATTGTAGGGTGGGGGTGTTTTATTGTAGAGATGGGGAGTTTTATTGTAGGGATGGGGAGTTTTATTGTAGGGTGGGGAGTTTTATTGTAGGGTGTGGGTGTTTTATTGTAGGGATGGGGAGTTTTATTGTAGGGGTAGAGGTGTTTTAAATTACACTGAAATTGTAAAGATCATCTAACAAAACTATAGCTTTACTGGCAGAGAAAGACTTCAGGTGCCACTTCAGGCAGTATTTTACATTGATTTAATGCAAAAGAATGTTTTCATACAAAAGATAATTTGACACAAAGAATTTTATTTAGCACTTGTTGATTTTCTCTAAAGAATTATTTAAAGCAGTAGGCCTCCAGAAGATAACAGAAAAACTACTGTCTTACAAATATTTCAAAATCCCTCTTCAAAAACATTATATATTTGAAAGATGTCAAAATGACACTTCAAATTGTTCATATTTCAACATAATTGTTCTGAAAACAAACAGTTCTCTTTTCTACCAACAGGAAATACCTACTTTTATTATACAAAATACCTTATTGCAGGGGTAAGAGTTTAATTTAACACTGAATGTTATCTATAGTTGATTTCGCACAACAGACAGTTGATTTTATGCAAAAGAATTGATTTTACACAAAAGATGGTTCATTTAAGACAAAAGATACTTGATTTTATTCATCAGAAGGTTGATTTTACTGTGTTCTGAGTCGAAAGAGAGTGATAAAATGTGATGTGGATTATAGCTATGGGAGGAAATGAAACTGTTATTGTGAGAGGTAATTGCTATATAGATGGTCACTCCGCAGAAGTTTCTAACTATAGATATATTTTCATACTTGCAGGTAGATGGCGCTATGATTGAAAGTGTTCAGTTACGTGTTTCCATGGCGAGAAGACAACCATCATTTGACAGTACCAGCCAAGATCCATCCAGCACTTTCATGGGCATCTCTAGGTAAATATGATTTTCCCTTCTGAAAATATTAATGGAACTTGTGCTGCCTCATTGTTTGTAAAGGGATGTCAATATCTTATTTTAAAGTCAAATAGGCAATAGTATATAAAGCCGTATTATTAGCTCACCTGAGCATATGCTCAGGTGAGCTATAGGATCACTCTTCGTCCGTCGTTGTCGTCGTCGTACGTCGTCCGTTCACACTTTTCAAAGGACATCTCCTCTGAAACCCATAAGGCAGATCATAATGAAAAACTTCACAGGGGATGTTCCTTGTGTGAAGCCTTAACAAAGTTGTTCAAAGATTTCCATTCCATGCAGAACTCTGGTTGCCATGGGCAACCAAAAGAAAAAACTTTAAACATCTTCTTCTAAATAACCCAAAGAGCTAGAGCTTAGATATTTGGCATGAAACATTCTTCTAGTGAGTGTCTACCAAGATTGTTTCAAATAAAAGCCCTGGGTCAAAATTGGCCCCGCCCCCAGTGGGTCATTGATTTTCCCTATAGGCATATAGTAAAAACTTAAAAAATCTTCTTTAAAGAACCCAAAGAAGCTAGACCTAAGATATTAAGACATGAAAACATCTATAATGAGTGTCACCAAGATTGTTCAAATAAAAGCCCTGGGGTCAAAATTGCCCCCGCCCCAGGGGGTCATTGATTTTCCTTATATGCATATAGTAAAAACTTAAAAAAAATCTTCTTCTAAAAAAACCCAAAGAGCTAGAGCTTAGATTATTTGGCATAAAACATGTTTCTAATGGATGTCTACCAAGTTTGTTCAAATAAAAGCCCTGGGGTCAAAATTGGCCCCGCCCAAGGATTGATTTTCCCTATATGCATATAGTAAAAACTTAAAAAGTCTTCTTTTTAAAGAACCCAAAGAGCTAGAGCTAAGATATTAAGCATGAAAAACATCTTCTAATAAGTGTCTACCAAGATTGTTCAAATAAAAGCCCTGGGGTCAAAAATTGGCCCCGCCCCAGGGGGTCATTGATTTTCCTTTTATGCATATAGTAAAAAACTTAAAAAAACAATCTTCTTCTACAAAACCCAAAGAGCTAGAGCTTAGATATTTGGCATTAAACATGTTCTAATGGATGTCTACCAAGTTTGTTCAAAATAAAAGCCCTGGGGTCATAATTGGTCCCGCCCCAGGGGGTCATTGATTTTCCCTATATGCATATAAGTTAAAAACTTTAAAAAAACTTCTATTAAAGAACCCAAAGAGCTAGACCTAAGATATTAAGCATGAAACATCTTCTAATAAGTGTCTACCAAGATTGTTCAAATAAAAGCCCTGGGGTCAAAAAATTGGCCCCGCCCCAGGGGGTCATTGATTTTCCCTATATGCATATAGTAAAAACTTTTAAAAAATCTTCTTCTAAAAAACCCAAAGAGCTAGAGCTTAGATATTTTGGTGTAAAACATGTTTCTAATGGATGTCTACCAAGTTTGTTCAAATAAAAAGCCCTGGGGTCAAAATTAGCCCCTTACCAGGGGTTCATTGATTTTCCCTATATGCATATAGTAAAAACTTAAAAAAATCTTCTCTTAAAGAACCCAAGAGCTAGAGCTAAGATATTAAGCATGAAACATCTTCTTATCAGTGTCTACCAAGTTTGTTCAAATAAAAGCCCTGGGGGTCAAAATTGGCCCCGCCCCAGGGGGTCATTGATTTTCCCTATATGCATATAGGTAAAAACTTAAAAAAAAATCTTTTAAAAGAACCCAAAGAGCTTAGAGCTAAGATATTTATCATAAAACATGTTCTAATGGGTGTCTTACAAATTTGTTCAAATAAAAGCCCTGGGGGTCAAAATTGGCCCCGTCCCAGGTGTTCATTGATTTTCCCTATATACATAGAGTAAAAAGTTAAAAATCTTCTATTAAAGAACCCAAAGAGCTAGAGCTGAGATATTTTAGCATGAAACATGTTCTAATGGATGTCTACCAAGTTTGTTCAAATAAAAGCCCTTGGGTTAAAATTGCCCTTAGCCAGGGGGAGGGGGGGGGGCAAAAGTTCATTGTTATTCATAATATGTGTATAGTAAAATCTTAACATCATGAAAATATCTTCTAATGGGTGTCTTCCAAGTTTGTTCAAATAAAAGCCCTTTGGTTTAAACTGGCCCGGCCCTGAGGGCCTATATTCAGGTGAGCGACCCCAGGGCCATCATGGCCCTCTTGTTTTGTAGAAATATCATTTGTCAACCTTTGAAAACTCTTTAATAGGCCTGCCCTTTTTCGAGTTTTAGCTGTCCGTTTATTTGTATAACAGATGTCAGTGTCAATGTCTCAGTTCCGATTTTCACATTTTCAGCTAGTTTATTACAATAAGATAAATGAAAAAAGGAACATTACTGTATACTAGTATTATTTTATATTGTGTTGAACTATTTTTCCTCTGTCATATTTTCAGCCAATTTTAGTATATTTTATAAATTGAAATAAGGACAATATTCTTGTATTACAGATGTATTGAACTATCTTTATTTTTTCTTATTTACAGCCAGTAACAATTCACAGAAAGGTTCTCACAAAGATAAAAGAGATGTAGTGGAGTACGAGGAGGACATGTTTTGATAAAACACTTGTTTGTTATGGGAGATTAATAAACATTTACAGAAAGAGAAATTAATTTGTTTTTAACATGTTTAAGATCAGAATGAAAAACGCCGAACGTTTATCATACTTGCGACTGATATTCACCTAATGACATGGAATTGTTTGGTAAATGTCGTTTTTGATTTCAAAACGCTTGTAACTCAGTGTTCAAATTCCACAAGAGATTTTGGATTTTTCATGTGAGGAAGCTATCCAGCTAGCTTTTCTAACGTTGGGTGCCAGCATGGAGGAGAAGTTATGGTCCTTCTTCACCAAATAGCTGGAACATCATGATATGACCTTTACAGTGTTGATTGGACTTTAAACCATATAGGAAAAAAGCAAAAAAGAAAAATATACATAAATACATGTGCATGTATATATGTTAATTGTGTCACTTGTAAGGTTAAAGTTTTTGAGAGGTGATAAAA